GGGTGCACACAGCACAGCGACCCTACTATGTATCCTAATCAGATGAAAGTGATATCATGAGACCAGTTGCACATTCTCCCCGTTTAGACTGTCGACTAATAATTGTATTTTTTTTTTCTTAACAAGTCTGAACTGAACTTTTTGGATGGCGTCACTAGGTGGTTGCTGAGGAAACGCACGGTGTATGGCATTCATTCGTTTTATTCTTTATTTAATTTATTTTTTGTTTGCATTTATGTGAGCTGTGTCATACAGATTGGATATTTTTTTATTTAAGGTATAAAGTAAGTTTAGAGGGCTGAAGAKGTGTGTGTGCGTGAGTGTGTGTGTGTCCTCCCTGAGTGTTTCAGAGTCTCTCTCTGCAGTAGGAGGAGGACCCACAATTTGAGATCACGGAGCCTTTAATAGGAGCGGGGTTATGGTAACTGCTACCGCCTCTCAGCACCACTCTGCGCTGTTGGAGGAGGAGGTGGGGGTAAGTTCTTTTATTTTTTTTCTGCTCCTCATTTACGCGTTTGGAAAAGGTGCATTATAATTTAAATGCGTAAAAGTGGGTTGTCTGTGCTTAAAATCTTGATTTTTTTTCTTCCTAGAAAAAAAAAAACCTTTATCGACTCCTCGCGTTCACTTTTTTTCTTTCCTTTTCTTTTTTTTTTTTCTTGTCCCTTGAAAGAACGATCAGTTTTGACGCATGAAAACGGCTTTACTTGGCTAAGAAGAAGTGAATGAAAGATGATGCATGCCACTTAAAATGCCTGAGGGAGCAAGTGTAATCTAAATTGGATATAGAGGCTATTATTACACAACATTATGCGTTGTGGCGGACTAATTGCGCGGCTGGATGAGTTAAACAGTCAGTTTAATGTGGAGTGGCGGACAGGTTTCTGGAGCGCACAAGGTCAGCTGTATACTGCTCCCATGAAGCCTTTAGTGGGTAACCGGAAAAAAAAAAGCTTGAAGTATTCATGGGATTTTTTTTAAAACCATTTTAAATATGTGTCCTAAACCGATTAGTTGACACCAATTTTTCTTTGATGTATTAGCTGAGGGCTTTTGCCACTTGGAAGCCAATTGAAATTCAAAACAGTTTTCGCTCTGAATGCTTTGGGGAGATCTGCAGCAAATAATAGATGTAATTTATTTTTGACCTTGCTTTTTTTTTTCCAAGGGTTACTAAATGATTAAACATATGTGCATTATGCCACTTGATTAAACAACAGTAAATGAGCAGGTCATAACCTTATACTTTCAAGTGAAGTAACGATTTTTTGATTGTTTTTCTTTTTTTATGAAATTAAAAAGTACAACATCAAGATTAGCTTTTGCTTATTTTTTGGGGATTAAATATTTCTCTTGCAGAGTTGTTGACATTGTTATTTTTATTTTAAATTAATGAAGGATATTGACTGATTGTTTCCGTTTTGAATCCATTCAGGTGCAAAAGGAGGAAGTCTTCCTGAGTCACCAAGAAGCTTCTGCCCTAACACACTCTGACTAAACAGTTTGACTAAATGTGCTTTATTCACTCTTTGAAGAAACAATATCTGACCATTTCTTCCCATTATTATAAGTTCAAATATTTTGTTCCCTTTTAGTTTCATTGTTGTATTTGTAATATCATTGTATACTTTTTTGTTTTTTTTTCTCCTTCATCCTTTTTTTGTATACTTCAACTCTATTTCTCTTTTATTGTTTAATGACTTGATTTGTTTAAAAAAAAGTACAAAAATGAACAAAAACTGGAATGAGATGATCAATTTTTAGATCTCTTTCCATTCGTATCTTTAGTTTTTCATTGACTTGAATGAAGACGTATGGAGTGGCTGTGTGTGTGCGCGTTTCCTCCTGATGTGCCCATAACCCCCCTCCACACAAACACACACACACACACACCCTATCTCTGATCCCTGCAAGGCTGAGTGGCAGACCTCTGGATTGGCTAAGTGATGAAATGATGACCCCATTATGAGAAGTGATTCCAAAATGAGAGGTATCAGACAAAGATTGCACCCTTTCTCTCTCTTCCTCTCTCTCTCTCTATCTGCTGCCACGCCGTCCTCCCGCATCACGCTGCCAGCTGCACAGATGATGATTGATTCGCTTGAGATGGGATCACAGGAAGCGCCCATTGATTTTTCTGTGTTTTATTAAAAATATTTATTTACGCCTGTATCCACAGGGCGTATCCAGACTCAACCCGTGCCTCGTCTTCTATATGGGTGAAGGTATAAGAGGGATAATTCTCACTTTTCCATGACAAGACAGATGATCTGAAGCATTATTTCAGAATTGAGTCAATAGACTCAGTGAGTAAATGAATATTGATTGAAAATGATGCCTGAGTGTGAATGTGAGCTCTTTCAGTGACCCTCTTCCAGACACACTGTCAGCATTGTATTCTGAGCCTCCAACTATGTCTGTTCCTCTGCAGATTGAAGTGATATATAAAAAAGAAAGTTCTCTAACCTTATTGCTAAAGTAAAATAAAGTGTGAGAATCTTAATAATGCCGTACTACCAGAACTGTTCTGAGGTATAGGATGTGTATTCCTGTACAAAAGGTAAAGTGATACCATGTACAAATCAAATGACTGCCAGAATGCTAAAACCACATTGTGGGAGCAGTGTCCTAGATATTTGCACTGACTTAATCCAATTGAAATAGTATGAGTGAGTTGCAGGGGCTCCCGGGTCTGTTCCATGCTTATGTATGTGATGCATAATAGAAGTTGACGAGGTTGGTGATAGATCACAGCCCAGGTAATGTAAACACATTAATCCCTCAGGGTTCATGTGCATGTTCTTTCTCTCTTTTTCCTCTTCTATCAGCCTCTCCCTCTCTGAGACCCCTACCACCACCACCCGTCGCCACCGCTCCCCAGTGCTCATCATCTTCCCTAAATGCGTTACTGGAGCACAAACCAGAAGCAGCCTTAATCTGTCAACATGCCCTTTAATTGGAAGGAGAAAACAACACGTGCTTCTCGTTGTGCCATTCCTAAATGCACATGCCAAAAGAAAGGCAGAGCTCACGAAAGAAGCGATCCCCGGAGAGTGGGAGCATAATTAAAAGTATCTTTTAATAGGCTTGTAATGCTGAGCCTGACTCTTGTTGCCTTAAGTAGAGTGCAAAATCTGTGGCTGGAGACGGACATGCAAAGGAGCTTCTGCTGAGGGAGCCTGTAAGCGATACAGAGTCTCACCATCATCAGACATTCAGTCTCCGCCTGAGTCACCACACCGAGGACAACGAGCACTTTCCACTCCTGCCACGGACACCTCTGCTCACCAGCTCCCATGTTCTTTTGTTCTCCCAATGAGAGACTCTCCTCCACAACATCGACTCTCTGACTGTCCGTCCCCAGACTGCTTCGCCAAGTTGGGTTCCACCTCTGACTCACAACACCGGTGGTGGAGTGAAAACTGGGAATAAGGGCGTTGATTTGGGGCCTGCTACASTGTAATCAAATGAGACTGCTTAGGGGAGAGATGAAGGAGGAGGTGGAGTATTATGTTCTGTCGTGCATTCCACGGCAGCATTGTTGCCGTTTTTGTTTTTGTCAGGGCAGGCTTTGATGCTAGATCTCCTTACCTTTGTAGTCCCGGTAGCCATGTTTCATAAACAGAGAATAGGAAACATCCTCAGCATTAGAAATTTAGATTRCTGCTTTCCTCCCACCTCTCTGCATTCCGCACATGGCCGGTCACATTCTCCATCTCCCAGAGCTGACGTATTAAGTTTCCTGTCCCATGCCTCTGATACATTTAAACATCTCACAATAAGCTCCTGTTATTCAGAATGTCATTTATAATCTGGGGCAACAACAATRCCAGTGTGGTGTTATGTCTCTCTCTTGCACTGTAGTCTTCTGCCGTTCTTTTGTTTCAGGACAACTGCACTTGCAAAATGCTTACTTCCTTAAAATCCAGAAGTTGGCAGAAGTTCAGTTTAAACTTTGTCTTCACAACTGAGGGTACAATATCTTTAWGAAGCAACTCTTTCTATAGAACCCCCTTTGCTTTCAATTATCAGACAATTGAGAATATTTAGGTCTGCAACTGTCTTTGTAGTTAACTGAAACTCTCACTGGGATYGAGTGTAATGTATTTCTAAATCTATCCTAACTCATTAAAAGCTAAAGTGTTCAGTTCTACTTTCCTTTTTTTGTTTCACTTCAGTTTTTGTGATAKTCTGTATTCTCAGAAGAGTACTTTCACACATGATTTAATATTTAAATGTCAAACCATGATGTGAATYATCTCAAAAGTAATTAAATTACTATTCACATAAGTGTGATTTTATGAGACAAAGTACAGATTATTTCTTTTTTTTTTCAGTTAAAATGCTTTACTGTATTGTGCTGAGCCTCAAGTCCTATTCTTCCTCCTGCTCTTTTTGAGAGTCTTGTCCAACATCTGACACACTGCCCTGGGTGATTGAGCCAGACGTGGAAATCCAAAGCAGAGATGCTCCCCTTAATGCCTGACACCTGGTGCAGATTTGGAAGGGATTGTACTACAGGTACTGCCTTACCTCTTCACCAATCCCAGAAAGTCCCTGAGGTATTTCCTTTTCTGTCCAAGGCAGTGTTTGTTTCTGCTTTGCTTTGCCACCCAGATATCCAGCCTCTGTCAGTCGGCCCCTGTGTTGGGATTAGGGTGAGAGTGTGTTGAAACAGGATGCCTATTATCCCTCTAATAAATGCTATTCTAACTTGTTCAGATATTTGTCAGGCCCTAAAAGATTTCAGCGGGATTAAAATCTCTTTCTAGGTGAATCTCAGGCTTTAGGCAGGATTGTATTAAGCTAAAAGTTCTGTCAATGGGACTGAAACCTTTTTTTAATGTGAAAAGAAATATAATAATGATGAAAGCAATTTGTCAACAGCTTTTTTTCCCCTGAATGATGGAAGTGGGAAGTTCAATATGACTTGTAATTAGACAAATCCAAGCTCAATCAAGCAATAAATTAATTTAGATTAGAATGAGTATAACACTTCCAATGCTAACATCATTATTTTTCTGATTTAACATGCCTTCTGCCTTGTAATTGTCGTTTCTTGTTGTATGCACTTCCTGCTGTCCCAGCAACAACCTCTGTCCTGGTGTGTTTTTTCACTGGACATGTTTCTTGGGAGTGTTTCAACTCACCTTACGGCTTGCAGCCACATATGCAGGCTGGGCTAGGATTGAATGGCTAGCCAATATAAACAGAGAAAAGACATTAAAGCCTTGCAACCTGGTTGAAACCAGCTGAGCATGCTGCAATGTATTGTGGTGTTTTCTGACCTGGGACTGGAGAGTTGTGCCAATTGGAGGGATCATATTCATGGAGAAATGCACCCCAGTATTTAGTTGTGGTAAGAATCCTCTAAAGCATTTCTAAAGGTTTCCAATTATGAAGGGTTGATAATTTGGTAAATACATGGTATTTCATTGCAATATTACACTTTTAAATCATGAATRACTAGTATCAAGAGTGTAAAACAATAACATGAACAAACTTTCAAAGGCCTTGCACAACAGTGCAAGCAAAATTTCCTTGATAATAAGATATATTTTGCATCAGTGGAACACATTTGTGCGCTCCCTTGGTAAGCTTTTCAGGCATACTGTTTATGTTGACACATGCAACTCTCTTCCTGATGCAAATCCAATCTAAACATTAAGCGGAGGTAAGGCAAGCATATCCCATAAAGGCTGAGAGCTCCAAACACTCTGAACAGACAACTATCACTAATCACTCCCAGAGCAGTGCGGCGTGTAATTACTCTGCCAAACGTTTGCCTTTCACAGCTTAGCACCGGGAGTCCTGACCCTGCGCTTCCCCGTCTTTCCTCACCACTGTGCATGTGGAAGGGTTGTGCCCCCACCTCGACACCCTCCCCGCCCCACCTCTTTTCTTTTACCAAAGGGTAAGGCAAGCTGAGCTCCCTCTCGATATTTCTGAAGAAGAGTGAAAGAGGAAGGAGAAAGATGGGGAGGGAGAGGGCCGAGGTTGTGCGCTTCCGGCTTTGTGGGAGCCCATTTAAACAGACTTTGAAACCTTAGCCATCCGGAGATCAGAAATAGTCTTATTGACTGCATGGGCCCAGAAGTGACTGAGCACACAGTGTTCTGAGAGTTCATCCTTCCTGGCTGCTCCGAACAGTAAGGG